GGTGGTTGTAGAGTGGATGAGGATCCACTTGACCTTTGATGATGAAAAAGCATGGTTATATACCTCTTCACAGCATCGCCAGCGATGCTGCTCCTGCTCTCTCTCCAGAGAGTACCTTCTTCATCGAGTACTGTTCAGGAGGCCTCTCCTGCTTGCTTGGCACCCCTATGCCTCTTGAGCTGTGTCGACTCCTTCGACACTGCTCCTCCTCCTCAGGACCTGGTGTCGACTCCTTCGACTCTTGTCTCTCGAGCCCCTGAGTGGTAACCATCTGCATGCTCCTTGAGCTTGGTCCTCTTCGTGGCTGTGCCTGGCCCTCCTCGCATATGGGCTCAGTCCTCCTTTGCATGTGGGTCCATAGGAGTCCATGGCCTCCATGGAGGCTGCACTACGACCATGCTCTCTAATGGTATCAACTAGATCTTCGATACTTGTGCTCCTTCCATATGAACCAGTGACCCTCCTGCTTCTTGAGCATTCAGGCCCATGACACAGTGTCGAAGGAGTCGACACCACTCAGGAGGCACAGGGGTGCCAAGCAAGCAGGTCCTGAGGAGGAGGAGCAGTGTCGAAGGAGTTGACACAGCTCAAGAGGCACAGGGGTGCCAAGCAAGCAGGATAGCTCTAGGAGGACAGGAGTGGTGCTAGAGGGGCCCCCTGTACAGTACTTGATGAAGAAGGTACTCTCTGGAGAGAGAGCAGGAGCAGCGTCACTGGTGATGCTGTGAAGAGGTATATAACCATACTTTCTCATCATCAAAGGTCAAGTGGATCCTCATCCACTCTACACACACCATAACTAGTTATCACTTCAGCATAAGTATATATTAGTTCCAGTCAGCATAGTAGCAATCTATCAAGGTTGCTCCTCATTGTAGTGCATGTGTTGTATCACCACTACCTGATGTCTGAAGGTGGTTCATAGCAAATCAGTGGTCTGGATATAGATAGAACCAAAGGCAGTAGTCCACTGCAGTCCAGGGATCACCTCAAGCATCAGTCAACACACTGGACACTCATGTTGACACCACCAACCTTATCACCAACACCATCAACCTCATCATCATCAACACACACACCAGACCTTGGTGTCATCATAACTGACGCATTGATATTGATCATGCCAAGCTACCCCTGAATGGAGTGTCCACAGAGGTCAGCCAAAACCTACAATAGTATATACAACAAATGCCACCCACTGTCATCATGCAACTTGATAGTTGCCAAGTGACATAGCTCATTGAGACCGATACTGAGACAATAGCTGTCACACAGTTTGATAGTCACTGAGTATCTCGACAGACCGACCTGGGTTTCAGGCACGAGACCCCTGACAAGGTGTTGTAGAGGAGTGCTCCATAAACTGTCCCACAATAAAAAAAATTCTCAGCTCTTTTTTGATGCACAATTTTTGCAAGTAATGTCAATATCAATTACACAGTCTTGGACAGAAGAAGCAGGGCTTTCAGACAATATCAGACAGTGTGGCAATCAGACATATGGCTATTGAGCATTGGAGTGATGTGTGGTGACATGTAAAATCATGGGACAGTTTATGCACAAGCTGTATATATACAAGAGTGTGGTACATGCTGTTACAGGATCGGGAATTGGGTAACCAAACCGAACATAGTGAGCAGTAAAACCACTACACCAGCTAGACCCTTAGCTGGTGTACCCAATTCACATAACACTGAAGTATAAGCATTTTCACTCCCAAATGCTCTGGACTCAGAGAACGGAATTCCTATTCCAGTGACACATCGCCTGCGACACTGTTCCTACTCTGGGAGGCTTCGCCGACACTGCTCCCCCTCCTCGTCCTTCCTATCCTTCCCATCCACTGCATGGTGCTGCTCTCTGGCTCCACTTCTCTCACACCCTGCAGATGGACAGTCTGTCATTGTCTTATCTCCTATAGGGGCTAGTCCCACTTCATCTGGGTGGCAACTCACACCCCCTCTCATCACCCTCTTGTCATTGGCACCCACCTGGTGGCCCCAACTTCATCATCGTGCCAGGCCCCTGCTTCATCTGGTGGTGTTCTTCCTTTGTACAGTATCCTCCCCTTGTCCTATCAGCAATGGGGTGCCTTTCTTGACCAATTCCCATGAGATCTGTCATACTCGGCATGATATTATGATTCTCACCAAACTCTGTAGTAATTACTGTGTTCCTACAGATCCTGCTGAGTTATGCCATAGGACCATTTCTACTACTGATTTCAGCAAACTCTTCCTTAAGCTCTCGTTTAGCCCAATCCTGTGATTTCTGCACTCCTTCATATGACTTCAACTTCTTCCTGCCTCTTGCGCATCCGGCTCCTATGACACACTCTACTCTATACTTTACATACTCTTTACTTGACTCATAGTTACATATCATTGCAATAGCAGAGCTTTGCAATGACACCTCATATGCATGTGTTGTATCACTGTTAGGCATCAACTGTAGGCAGTGTTACTCAACACCTACAGTCCAGTCCCTTACTGTAGGCAGTGTTTGCTTGACATCTGCAGTCCAGTCAGTTATTGTAGGTGGTGTCCAACACCTGCAGTCCAGTAACTCCTGTCCTCTGTAGACAATAAGCATATCATGGTCCAGACAATGTTAGAGAGCATTAGCAACAGTACTACAAACACTTGTACTGTAAGGAGAGTATACTACTCTCCCTCCAAAGAATAAATGGACATGCTGCACAACCTCTGAATGGAGTGTTCAAGGCAGTCAGCCAAGACCTACCAGTACAAAGCCATCTGGTTACATTTAGTCAAAACATCCTGAGTAGATCTTACTCAATTGTCCTCACCAATACCAATTGGAAACATCCAATCTGGTTTCAGGCATGCGACCGCTTACACATGGTTATATAGCCATTCCCGCAATGTCGCCTGCGACACTGCTTCCGTTCTGGGAGTCCTCTCTTAATGCTGCTCCTCCTCCTCTTGTATTCCTTGCGATGCTGCTCCTTGTCATCGCTTCCTGTGCTTCCTGTGGATGGACAGTCCTTGTACTGCTTCATAGCTGACAGGGTCATTCCCACTTCATCTGGGTGGCGACTTGCACCCCCTTTCATCTCTCCCATCCTTCTGCTCCCAAGTTCATACAATCATGATACTACAGATCCTGGTGTCAGCGGTCGCGTGCCCAAAACCTGAAATCTGTAATAGAGTCTCATCTATTACAGATCCTGTCGAGTTATGCAACAACACTTGTGGTATTGCAATTCTCAGTGAAATATGTGATAGAGCTGTCTCTACCACTTTTCTTGCTTGAATCTGTGATTGAAGTAATGCTATTGCAGATTTCAACTGACTGCTGTGGACACTCCATCCAGAGGTAGCTTGGCATGATCAATATCAATACATGGGTTGTGGTAACACCAAGGTCTGGTGTGAGTATATTGTTGGGTGGCATCGATGTGAGTGTCCAGTGTGTCGACTATTGCTTGAGGTGATCCCTGGACCACAGTGGACTACTGCCTTCAGTTCTATCTTAATCCAGACCACTGGTTTGCTATGAACTGCCTTTGGATGTCAGTGAGCAGTGATACAACACATGCACTACAATGAGAGGCAATCTGATTGATTGCAACTATGCTGACTGAAACTAATGTATACTTATGTCTGAAGTGGTAACTAGTTTAATATGGTGTAGAGTGGATGAGGATCCACTCATCCACCTATGACAAGAAGGTATGTTTATATACATCCTTTGTAGTGTTGCCTGCAACACTGCTCCAGCTCTCTCTCTCCAGAGAGTACCCTCTTCATCAAGTACTATACAGGGGTCCCTGTAGCACCACTCCTGTCCTTCTTGAGCTGTGTGCCAACTCCTTCGACACTGCTCCTCCTCCTCATGACCTGCTTGCTGGTGTCCTTGATGCAGCTCTTCTTCCTTTGACTGGCAACAACTCTCCAGGTCCTTATCTTGTGACCCCTGAGTGGTAACCAACTGCATGCTCCTGAGCTTGGTCCATTCCTTGGCAGCACTTGGTCCCCCTTGCATGTGAATCTGTCATACAATCATCCTTGCCACTGATCTCCACAGAATCTGCCACATGGTCCCTTCAACTACTGATCTTGGGGGGATTCATAATATCAACTTCGCTTGTGCCAAACTAGGTGAGATCTGTAATAGAGCTGTCTCTACTACTGATCTCAGTGAATTCTGCTGCAAATCCTATGATCTGCCTGATTCCTTGATTCCTGCACTCCCTTCATATGAGTTGATGGATCTTCCTGCTTCCTGCGCATCCAGGCCCATGACACCTGGCAGAATTTGTGGTACCATTTCCGCTCGTGCCGATCTGGGCAGGATCTGCCATAGAGCCCTCTCTACTACAGATCCTGGCAGGATTTGTGGTACAATCCCCGCTTGTGCTGACCTGGACAAGATCTGTCATAGAGCCTTTCCTACTACAGATCTCGATGAACTCTACTGTAATTCCTTCGATCTGCCCGATAATCGATTCCTGCGCTCCTCCTCATATGACTTTCACTTCTGTGCATCTGGTCCCATGACACTCATGTTTGTAGTCTCAGTTCATTGGAATGAAGTAAGCATTGCAGTTGCTACACACCTGTCCAAAGGAAGCCTAATCGTGGCCCCAACAAAGTGGTGCCTCTATTTACAACTGAAAGGTAGTTTGTGGGAAGAATGGCACTGCACTGGATGACAGGCCATAACACACAAACTCCAAAGCTACTCCTTGCTAGAATCAGAAAACTAATATGATACACCGCACCAATACTGGCCGTCATGACCACCAAAAATGCAATAGCAAAATAACTTACGATGATAGCCGCCCATGCTTGGGACCAGGTTAAACCGACAGAGACAGCGGTGGACATCTATTCAGCGTGACCCAAATCGCAGATGTGGCTTTAGTGAAGTGAGAATGCCGGTGGCGTGAGACGCACTTACGTGACCCAGGTTCTTGATCCAGTTCAGGTCTACCGGAAAGTTGGTTTGTATCGACTGCAATAATGTACAAAAGATCAATGGCTACCGCCACCAAAGAGTACACCTCCATCGCCAGAAGAGTTTCGCTGCATGTACATGAGATACTTCCACACAGCTGTGACGGCGGCTGCTAGCAAAAAGGCAGAGTCGAAAAGACTGCCAAAGACGACCTGGAAGCTCGGCAGCGTGGCTAACAACGGAGGAGTCTTTTCGTCCACAAGATCTCTCACGGTTGGTGTCGAAACTGATGCTGGCAGCGAGGACCTGAGCTGAATGAGGGTGGCGAGAAGATAGATCGTCATGATCTCGGCGAGGAAGAGAACGAGGAAAGAGCTCGACACGCCTCTGCCAGCTGCACGGAAAGCTGAGCCGAGGTAGCTGAGCACATTACCGATCCTGCCCCAGATGAGCATACCGACGAAGAGAAGAGAGACTTGCTTGGTCCAAGCAGCCACGTCGAGATTGACATCAAAAATGCGGATCATGTAGGCGACTAGAAGCGAGATAAAGTCGGGTGGCGCCGTATCCCGGTACCCAAGGATGAGCAAGTTGAGCGTCGACAAAGCAATGCGAAAGGCACAGTATGCGGCCCAGATCCAGCCAATGAGGATCCAGAGCTTGCCTATGATTGTCGCATTGAGCTGTTCTTTGTGTTGAAGTGAAGTCATGCGATCCAGGTCGTCGCGCATTGCGGTAGCGATGGAGGATAGACCAAAGATTTCCGATTTGAGCGACTTGATCTCTCTGGAGCGACTGTCACCTCCCCAGAGGCTGGACACACTCCAACCGCCGGAGCCTGTCCGGTCAGAAGTCTCGGTCTCGAGCCGATTGAGATCAGCTTTCCTAGCTGCGAGATCGGAACATGACCGCTGGAAAGACTCGTTAGCTAGATGGATGTCGCTTGCCGACGGCGGACGCTGTTGTTTTCCTTTGAAGTGTTCGAATGCTTCCCAAGCAGCTTGCAGCGCCGCTGAGCCTGAGAGTATTGCGATGAAAGTGACACCAATCACGGCTGTTCTTGCCATGAGACCATCAAAGATTCCTGCACCACTACGTCTATCCAGCAAAGCAGCTGGCAGGGGGACCTTGAGGAAGAGGACGAGCCATGGAATGAACGGGACGAGCAAATATGCGACTCGACGAGGAAGAGGGGTTGAAGTGTTGCTGCGGTAGGTGAAGAGGAGACAGACGGCTAGTGGAATGCACACAATGGCGAGTGCGAGAACGGCAGCGAGAGAGAAGCGCCACATCTTTCGAAGTGAGGTACCATTGCCAGCAACAAATCCAGCCGTCTCTAGCAAGACGGCAACGAACAGAGTGGCTGATTCCTCGAAGGCGAGAGAGAAAAGAAGCGCGGCTACACTAGCAAGGTCGAGGCTTCCTTGCGAGTTGCGGATGCGTACTGGAGCAAAGATCGAAACCCTGAACTGTGTCCACGTAGGAATTACTGAGCCCTTCTTCGCCGCTAGGAAAGGCGAGCGGTCGGTTGGGTTATCGTCGTCGTCGTGTATTGAGTCTGAGTGGTATGTGCTATGATTTGCATGATTGCAAGTCGTTACCGGAGTGGGGAGAGACGCAGTGGTCTTAGTACCGATGTCCAACGAAGCATGTCGTGCTTGGCCGAATAGGAAAGGAAGGGCGGATCGAGCTGAGAGGTAGAGCGCCAGCTTGATGCCTAAGAGGAGAAAGAGATCGATCATGATGGCGGCAGTAGCATTGCTATTCTGTCCAGCCTGATCAAGTGCAATGAGGTTGAAGTATGATGTTGTCGAAAGCATACCTTCGTGGTTCAAGCATGTTGGCACTTTCACATTTGGTCAAGGCGTTTCACCGCCTCCACCTTTGTTAGACCTTTTCGAAGCTACAGCCCGATAAATGAATCGCACGAGATCTGGCCGAGACGCGTCTTTGTTGAGAGTGTTGATGCCTGATAAACGCGCGCGCACGCGTGTCTTTTGAGCGTTTGTTTGCGCAACGCGCAGCTTTCAAATTTGGGCAACAGACCAACACTCTCCCTCGTTCCAGTTGGTGTGTAACGCAAAACACTTTGCCGATCCTGACCAACACCACCGTCGACACCATTTTCAGTACCACCAACTTGAAACAGCACCAACTTCAATGCCCACTAAGCTACAGCGTCTGCATCTTGCCCATCGATCTTCTTGGTCCTACCGTCATCATGCCGACATTCCCCACCACACCGAAACCTAGCGGCGCAGATGCAGCCGACTCTTCTTGGCTGCTCGATGAGACCTTATCACCCGCACTCGTTCAAGGATCGATGCCGGACCTCAACATCTCCGACTCGCCTCTTCATGGTAGTATTCGCACAACAACCTCGACCAACTCAACCGCAGATCCAGTCTCGCGCGTAAAGAAGCCAATGAAGTCTCGTCCATCGTGGGGATCCGCAGCCGTTCTCGATGCCAACAATTCTGTCAAAACCATGTCCAGCATGCGTCTCTTAGCCGGTCTCGATATCAATGACGAAAACAAGCCTTCTGTATCTGGCAGGGCGCCGGTTTCTTCGAAGCCCGCCGGTGCCGGCAGACCTCGCTTCTCACTCTTCGCAAAACCAGGCGTGCCCACCAACTTGATGCCCAAGAAAGCACAGCAGCAGACAGAACCAGAAGACAACGACGAAGATGTTACCATCGGCCGACTACCGGACGCTTCCATCCTTGCCCCCTCTCCCTCGGCGCTCGACTCTTCCGTCATTGATGGAGACGAAGAGTACATTCGTGAAGCCCTTCTCGGCAAGCGCGCTTCAGCACGACCTTCGACTGGCGACCCAACACCATCCGAGAGCAAAGAATCGCAGCAGCAGTCGGCACGTCAACTTGCTGAACTTCGTCGCATGAACGATGTCTTCGAAGGTTTCGAGAAGATGCTTCGAGGCAGTGCTGGCCAGATCAATGCTTTCGCAAAACGAGTGCAAGAGACCGACGATCTTCTCAACATTTACATTGGCTTGCTACGACAGACCGAGAAGACACAACAACTTCTCCAAGATCAGGACTGGAAAGGCACCACCGACGATGCCACCGCCCATGCCCTTTCTGTCGCCCTTGCTCAACGTGAAACACAACGCCTATACGCTGAAGCACAAGCGAGAGAACTAGAAGCTCAACGCGCTGCAGAAGAGGCTGCTGCTATGCAAGCCGAGGAGGAGGAACGCAGAAAACTAGACGAGTTGCGTAGAGCCAACGGCGCTGGTGGACGAGGACGTGGACGAGCGGTATCAGGGACAAGGACAGCAACTCGAGGTGCAACAGCAAGGGACTCTGCTACATCTGCCATTCGCGGTCGTGTTGTTGGCTCTCGCACTGCCGCATCCACAACCGACTCGTCGGCGCCATCATCAAGCACATCAATGGCGCCAGTCTCGAGAGGAGGAGGCAGTGCTTCTTCAACTCGCGGTCAATCTGTGTCAACCTCTGCTCGCAGCACCGCGCGACCGTCCGCGATTCCAACCCGTGCCGTCTCTGGTAGCGCCGGTCTGGGAGGTCAATACGCTAATGTCAAAAGCTCCGGCTATGGTCCAAGATGAAGCCTTTTTTCCTCCTCCTCATCAGCCCCGACACTTGACCTTGCCATGTACTATGCTCATTGTATTTGTTCCGTTGAATCCGATCGCATCCCTTGCACAGCCTCTCGTGTGAACACCTGAATGATATCGATTACGACTCTTGGACCAAACCAAAACTGCAGCATGACTGTGTCTCCTTTGGGAGGTTGATGCAACATCAAGTTCTATCGCAGAGTTTTCGTGCTATCTTGAGCGCCTGCTTGGCATGCTGTCGGGAGCGAACGGCCGCTTCGTGTTGCACCTTCTGAAACCATGCTGTTTTCGCCAATTTGAAGTTGACCATGTTCAGCCAGCGTCGCTGGAGCTCCTGATCGATGAAGGTGATGGAGAAAAAGTTCCCGTCCTTCACTCTCTTCCTCGTAGGCTGTGGCTCAGCCACATCAATCTCCTCATCCCCAACCGCATGATGCTCTTCCAGCCCAGAGCGCCTTATAGGTTCCTCCGCATCGCCTCCTGCAATCAGCTTGATATACACAGGTATTTGATTGACCGGGATGTACTCTTCAGGATTTGACTCGTGTTCGTCTCGGTGCTTTTTGTCCTCCTCCCTCTCCTGTTGCGTTTTCTGAAGCATCTCTTCGTTCTCTGCAGCGATGCGTGCGAGCTCTCTTGGGTTGTCGGCGACCACGATCTCTGCCGCCTCATTCTCCGCCAGTAGCTCACCCGTAGGGCGGCGCCAATGCAAGCGCACGAGCTCCAACATCTTCTCGTTAAAGGTGGGCTTGACCAACACAATCTTCTTCTGCTTTGCCAACAAACGGCTTGATCTGCGTCGAGGTTCCTCGAAGCCTGTGACATCCGCGTTGAAGTTGGCGTCGTCGAAAAGCTCGTCATCATTGTCCAGAGAGCGGCGGTCTGCAGCAACACGTGTCCTGTCCCTTGCCTGCCCCTCGCTAGCACGACGTCTGAGAGTTGACGGCCGCTCCTCGTCCTTGTCATCGGCAGACGTCGAACGCTTGATGAGATTAGTGAGGGGTGCATCGTCGTCATCGTCGTCATCATCTCCCTCGTCGTCTTTGTTTCGCACACCTGCAGCGAGGCTCTCGTCGTCGGTCTTGTCATCGTCCGACGAGTCCTCGAAGAGGTCCGCTGTGTGGCGAGGCTGTTGGATCTGGAGGGGCTGCTGGACGTAGCGTGGCTGTCTGATCTGCTCGTCCTCCTCTTCGGAATCCGTGATCTGAATCGCTTCGGGTGACTCGGCCTTCTGAGCTGTCTCATCGTTGATAGGTGGCATAAACTCATCCTCGAGGACGTCGGCTAAGACACCACGCCTGGTGCCGCGGTTTGGAGGCTGGGTCGCCGAGGTGAAAGGTAAAGCTCTCGGCTGAGCTTTGCCGCGACGAAACTCGCGCGCTCTTCTGGCGGCTTCGAGAGGGTCAAAGTAGAAGTCGGCCAAAGCTGGAGCGGTAGAGCTTGAGCGAGAAGCATCGAGTCTTGTTGACCAGGAGGTTGGGATGTGGGTGTCCCTGCGCGGGCTCGTTAAGGAAAGGTTGTTGAGGCGCTGGAGCAAACGCTCGTCGGCGCATAGAGCTTGCATCATAGCCGGCTCGATACAGGCAAGCCTGATAACGAAAATGAAGCCTTTGCCGTCAAAGCCTTTATCAATGGTGCGAGGAAGAACCTGAACGACGAGAATCTTGACCGAGCCGAAGATCCAATCCTCGCGCTCGAAGGTCCAGAAGTGATTTCGACGCCTGATGTTGTCGTACAGGTCACGATGTTTGTAGACCAGATCCGGCTCTGCGTCGTAGCGAGACTCTGTCTCTCTGCCCTTTTCGCTTTGCGTTACTACGGTAACGCCGTCTGGAAAGCCTTGCTTGCCAGCGCGAAGAAAGAAAGGGGCGCCTACAAGGCCACCAATGCCGACGGTCAACACTGGTACCTCATCGTTCTCGATGTTACTAATGGTTCTTTCCTCGTACCGTTCGACGTCTGGACTGGCGATCCATAGCTCTTGGTGACCGTGGAGAACCATTTTGGAATCGATATGCTGTCGGAAATAAAGTTGACTGTTGTCGTTACGAGTCGCTAGAAAGTTATCGAGATCGGAGGAGGGTCACCGTCGGGGAGATACCCCTGACCTGGACGTCGTGAGCGAGGAGTCAACCGGGGAGGCACAATGGAGTGTGGCAGTCTTTTGCGAAAGTGATGCGCAGGAATTGGAGCAGCCGCTAGTCGTAGAGCGTCGAGGTGGGAAGCTGTTCGTGGCTGCGGAAATAGGGTGACAAGGTTTGAGGGAAGTGTCGATACCGAGTTGCAGAGTTGAGAATCTGAAGACCGAAGAGCGAGTTGCTGGAAACCTGCAGTCATTGACAGAGAGCCGGGATGAAAGGGGGGATGAAAGGGAGATCAAGTCAGTAGCGAGACCGGAGGGAAAGCGACAAGACAAGGAAGGAATCGTGAGCGGCTCATATTGTAGCGACCTTCATAGATCTGGTGTTGGGGAAATAAAACAAGAGACAATTCAGGAAATGAGCAGCAAGAAGGAGAGAGACAGAGAAGGAGAACGGAAGGAAGAAGAAAGGGAATGAAAGAGAAGCAGAAATGCTTTTGATAGAAGCGGCCCAAGCGTCAGGCAGCCCCAGGATATGGAGCGAAATGAAATGAAACGGAAGCGCTTTCAGCAGATCTCAACAAGAACGACATGCCTAAATCATTTCCCACGAAGCTTCTTCTAGATGGTTTGGCGCAGCGTGGCAGCATCGGAGGTGCCGATTGTGCTGACGCCTGGCTGTTGCCAAGAATGTGTCAATGGGCTGATCATTGAGCACTTGTTCGGCCTCCCCGACGGCTGCAAATGTCGGGAATCGCCGTCGGATGCTAAAGGGTTGAAAGCGGCCGAAGCGGTGCAACCAAACCATAGTGTCGGAAAGCCCGTTCCATTTGATCGCAGTTCTGAATGAGACTGATCTACGACTGCAATGGCGTTTGACAAAGCGAAGCGGTCTGGTCTCAACACATATCCTGTACTGTCTTCTACTTTGCTCGTCTGCTGCCTACTGCCACGATGGTCGTGCTTGATCTTGGGCATCGATTGTATTGCACGTTTGCGAGGTAGCTGTCACTTTATGCGTAGTTCTCACTGTGAGAAGGTCGAGAAGGGGCAAGGCAAAGCACCTAATCAGGTCAGCAATCAGTTGCAGCAACGAAGGATTGTCGCAAAGATTGTTTTGAGACTTACGCTGGGTAGTAGGCGTGAGGGTCGTGAGGTACGGCACCCTTCTGCAGCTTGAGAATGTGGTGAGGCTGTTTGAAAGGAGGACGCGGTGGAAGGTTGGCAGACGAGTAGAAGCCAGCAGGTGCAGCCTCGGAGGACTTGTGCACCTGAGCGAGAACATCGGTGAAGGCGGTGGGTGACTCGAGGTCAGCTGGCCGAGTCAATGCGGTGGTGTTGGAAGAGTCCTCAGCTTGGAGGCTATCGTCGGCAAATGGTTACAGCGCGGTCGAGTTTTGAAAGCATGCCAAGCACAGAAAAGAAGTGCAAGTCAGTATACAGCTGCCATGACCCCGAATAGTCCAGACCTTCGTCGTTGAATCTGGACTGCTTACCTGCGGGTGCCATCCTCGTTGGGAGACGAGAGAAGAAGGATGGTGAGGTCCTTTTGAGTAATCATTTCGAGCTTGGGGTACTTTCGTCGGAAGTCACGGTTGTGGTACAGATTGCCAGCAGGGTCGGAAGCAGCGCTTGGGGGTGTAGAGGGTAGTTCAGGGCGAGAACCAGGTTGAGGCCATCGGTTCGACTCGATCGATGGGATACCGGAAGAGATCTCTGGGTTGGCAGAGAAGATCTGTCGAAATTTGCGCCAGAAGGGGGTCTTGCCCTCGACGTAGGTGAAGCTGTGTGAGGAGGCGTAGTTCTTGGCCTCGTTGAAGAGGGTGCGTGTAGCTCGGAACGACATGTTGGTGCAGTCGACGCGGTGTGGTGGTGTTGGTGTGTGACAGGCAATGAAGGAACCAAGATTGAAGCGTTGGTATGTTGGTGGATGAGATTGAGAGCTTCCTTTCTCTGGCTTGCACGTGAACCTCCTTTCGCACGAAATGTCAGCCCCGGAAAGAACTTTTATTTCAACGCGTTGGAAAATGTAGCTCTAACAATCCAAGGATTTCGATAGGATCGCCGTTGCCGTGCGCAGTTGCATCATGGCTGCTTTTTCGAATCTTTCGCAACGCGCTCCTCTCTCCTCGCCTCTCCTCCTCTCTCCTCACCTCAACTCGGCACGCTTCTTCTCTTCGTTCGAAACTGTGATTGACTCGGCGACTTTGTTCTACACTGACACAGAAGCGCCAGTTTTCCTGTCTGCTATGCGTTCAACTACAGATTCTATGCCGCTTCTCCCTTCTCTTCTTTGCTGTCAGCATGCGAAACTCGTTTTGGTCTTACCATGCTCGCTTATCCCGCAGTGCTGCGTAGAGCTAGGTTAGTTACAGAATCGTCTCTCCACCTCTTTCCGCCTCGGCCTTTTTTTTGCCTTACGTTTCAATCTCCGATAGTCAAGACGCTTAGTGTTACCTTGATGATGCTTCTGCTGCTACAAGGCACACACGACGTCCTCATGTCTTGTGCGAACATGTTTCGTCTCTGCCGTCGTTTCTTCCTCTCGACCCTTGTTTTGGACTCGTCCGCTTTTGGCTTCGCTCCATTTTGATAACTGCAAGCCGCTGGTCGTTCCGTTGCTCTTCTTGCTGTGGTCATGAACAAATCCTCTTTTACCATCATCTCTTTTCTTCGTTGTTCTTGACCAACTCGCCCCGCTTCTCGCTTCCTTCCCTTTCACCTCGGCTTGCCTCAGGTGTCGAGTAGGCCGTCGTTGCGGTTGAATCCTGCTCGAACATCAACGCGCTCGTAACTGTATCGCAGGATTGCCATCATCACCGAGACTGCCCACACCTTAGATCATCGTCGATCTAGAGCACACCAGCACGTCCGCCTATCCACAAAGATGTGGCTCATACCACACTCATCGAGGGCACGATTGCGGTCGACAACGTTTGCAACCAGCTGGATGTCTCCCTTGCAGCTCTTATCCACGCTACTCACCATCTTGCTTGCATGTCTTCCCAAGACCGAAGCTGCGAAAGGAGGCATCGGCGGCGTCCAGATGCTCTACACATCATCAGCGGTCTACTGTAGTCCACCAGAAGCCATTCTCATTTCGGCACTCGATCTCAAGTTCTACCGCGAGAACCGCACTCTCGAGTTCGACATTTCCGCTGCTTCGGTCACAGACGATCTCAGAGTTTCGGTCTCTGTCGACGTCAATGCGTATGGACTGGGTCTCTTCTCGCTCGCTATCGATCTCTGCGGCGCCCTCGACGTCCTCTGTCCCCTTCCTAACTACCAATTCAAAGGAAAAGGTGTCTTTGCAGTCCCCGAACAATTCGTCGAAAAGATCCCTACCATCGCATTCACCGTACCCAACCTCGAAGCTGTCGCTACCGTTGAGCTCACCGACTCCAGCAACACTGTCGTCGGCTGCGTACAAGCCACCCTTTCCAACGGCAAGACCACGTATCAGCCAGCCGCCAAGTATGCTGTTCTCGGCGTCTTGTTGCTTGCCGTCGTGAGTTCGGTGCTACACACGTCCCTCGCCTCGAGCCTCGGTGCCGCGCAATGGCGTGTAGTAGATGTCTTTACCACCATTCAGCATGTTGCCATGTCCGCACTCCTCAGTCTCAATTATCCACAGGTCTTTACCCAGTTCGCCCGCAACTTTGCATGGTCCATCGGTCTCATCGACATCCCCACCATCCAGGACTCGATCGTTTCCACTCGTCTTGAGACCGGAGGCAACAAGGACGGCATCTTCGGCACACTTCTGCGTGCAGAGAGCGGCAAACAGTACAATCCATTCACCAGCGCCGGTGTCGCATCAGGTGCTACCTCCTCGTACACCTCCTCGAGGCCCTTTACTTTCCTCAGCTTACCTGCAGGCGCATCGAGCCTCAGCGCAGATGCTCCACAGGTCAACTCAAGCACCGCCTATGCTGCCTATAGTCGACTAAGCCAACCCTTGAGCTTCCACATGACTAACCTCGGCAAGCGACAGATCTACGCCCCATACACTGGCGCTGGTGGTCAGATCGAGCAGAACATCGGCACCGATTACCTTCCCCTCATCTCATCAAGCACCTTTCCACCCACCGGCATCGGACTGTTTGCACAACTCAACAACATCTCTCCAGCGAGCGCTTTCCTCACGGTGCTGGTGAGCTTGGCCATGCTCTTTGCTGTGCTCATCGGCATTTGCCTAGTCATGTTCCTCTTTGCAGCAGTGCTGCGATTGGCCACACGTCGACGCCATGGCCGTGTCGCCGCTTGGTCCTCGCGTTTGACCGGTCGCTCCTTCTTTGGCATGTTCTGCCGACCTCTGTTTGGTCGCTTCATCATGGCGACATTCCAGGTCTACCTCGTCTTTGCATTCTGGCAATGGCTTCGTGGAGATTCGTGGGTTCCCGATTTGCTCGCTGCTGTTCTCTTGGTCGTGTACCTGGCCGGCATTGCTGTGATCTATGCGCCGGTCTTTCTGACCGTACGACGAGGAGGTAAGGAGGAGCTCTTCTACGGCAAGACACCTCCCGCCAACGCAGGCTCGACATCGAGGAAGTGGGGTGCCATTGCCCACCCGTTCAGACCCAAGTTCTTCTGGTTTGGCCTGGTGTTCTTGCTAGTGTATTTCATTCGTGCTTGCTTCATCAGCTTTGCTCAGGGATACGGACACGGTCTTCGTCAATCGATCGGGCTCGCCGCTACCGATCTGCTTTTCTTTTTGTTGCTCTGCATCTGCCGTCCCGGACGTGACAAGACGAGCGACTTTGTCATGATCTTGCTCATGGTGTTCCGCGTCATCTCGTGGGGTATCTGTATCGCTTTGACGCCGCTGGCAGACATTCAGACCATTCCACGCGTCGTGCTTGGCTTTGCTTTGATCGTCGTCACGGGCATTCCCATCATCTTCCTGTTCTTGCTTACCGTCTGGGATCTTTTTTCGCCCTTCATTCGAAGGCGTCAGTGGAGTGCGACGCGCATTGGCGATGCAGAAATCAATGAGAAGCCTGGATATGCTTTTGGTGCGATTGGTGCCGATGGCGAGGGTGCTGATGCAGCTGCTTCGAATGGGCAGGCGTATGCAGCAAGCTCCCCAAGCGGGCGCGGATCAGAGCCTTCCTCGGGCGCATCCTCCGAGCAAGCACCCGCCGACTCTCACCTTAGTCCGAACCAAGCAGCCGTTCCAACGCAAAAGAGCTCGCTATCTCGCGATGCCAGTCCGGCCACGACAACAGCTTCCAACACGACAGGGGTTCCAGTAGAGCATGCACCAGTCGCGAGCCGAGTCAACCAGCAGCATCTGTCGCGTCCAGTGCCTTCGCACAACGGCTCCGCCGTGTCCGGCATCTCAGGACAGACCGTATACCACGACGCAAACGCTGAACCAACCTAGCAGCAGTGATTACATCGATATCCCTCCATCTTCATAGACATAAAACTATAAATTTGTTCGTCCGCCCCGCTTCATTTGAGGAATCTTGTTTTGCATTGCATCATCACTGTCTCTCTCATTTCATACAATGCCATCTCATTCCTTGTCGTCGCAGAGTTCACAACCGTTCAGCGCCACGAATCGTCCACCTTGAACGACCAACCGATATTGGCCACTCGCCAGCACAATCTAACACGAATAGGTCGAGCGACGATGTCGGACACAAGAAGGACCGCAGGGCACAATCGAGGATCCAAGGGCAACGTGAACCTCATGCGCGATCTCTTCTCTTGCATCCATTTTAAGCTTTCTTTTTTATTTTTTCCCCCCTCTTCGTTCGAAAGTAGTGCATCAGAGCACAGTCGTAGGAGCCGAGCGGATGAAATGTCAGATGCCGGATGATGGAATTTCAAAGATTTAATTGCTGCCGGTCAAAAAGGGAAGTTTTCAAATTTTCACTGATCTCACACCCGCAATTTTTTCTTTCCTTCATAAAGCGTGCACGAGGCGGCAATTGCGCATTGACGCTGTTTCAATTTCCCTCGATGCATTGGTCATATGCCGATTCATCCTTGCTGTTTCACTTCCACCTTCAACCAACTCGTGTTGGTCGCGATCTCAACTTACTCCGACCACGATTCATCTCTTCTTATTCGAACTGGCCATTCACCTAACGACACCCCTTCGCATTTTCCATCTTACGAACGCTCTAAAGGCTTGCTTGCGATGGTCATGACGGGCGTCCCCGCTGTGGGGTCAGCGCAGGTTACATCCTCGATGCAGTATCGAGCACAGCCTTTCATCAAGCTGGCCATCGTAGTGCTCACCACATTGGTCCACCTCATCGCACCGGTTCTCTCTGCGCCGTTCTTTTCCGCTTCCCAACCGACTCTAAACGCATTTGGAGCAGACTCTTCTTCGCGCCATCAGCATGATCAAGATGATCCCGTCAGCGACCACCCGCTCAAACTCACCCTCGACATTCTCACTATCGCTGCACTGGTAGTGCTCGGAGGCGTCTTTGCAGGTCTCACGCTTGGTTTGATGGGTCTGGACATGGTCAATCTGCAGGTCTTGGCTTCTTCGGGTTCAGAAAAGGAGCGCAAGCATGCAACAAAGGTGCTCAGGCTTCTCGAGAAGGGTCGTCACTGGGTGCTCGTTGTCTTGCTCCTCGGCAACGTCATTGTCAACGAAACGCTTCCCGTCTTCCTCTCCGATTTCGGCGGTGGTCTTGCTGCTGTGCTTACGTCGACGCTACTCATTGTCGTGTTCGGCGAGATTGTCCCGCAAAGTATCTGTGCTCGCTACGGTCTAGCTATCGGCGCCTTCTGCGCTCCCATGGTCCACATCACTATGCTCCTCATGGCACCCATTGCCTGGCCCACCGCAAAGTTGCTCGACTGGTGTCTCGGTGAGGAGCACGGCACCACCTACCGCAAAGCTGAGCTCAAGACCTTTGTCTCGCTCCATCAACAGATCGGCACAGAGCACTTGCATGAAGACGAGGTCACCATCATCCGCGCTGTTCTCGAACTCAACGACAAGACTGTCAGGGACGTCATGACACCCATCGAAGACGTTTTCATCATGTCCAGCGATACCATCCTCGACGAAGAAGGCGTCGCGAAGCTCGTCCGATCAGGTTATTCCCGTGTCCCGATTCACGAGCCAGGCAGGAAGGACGCCATTGTCGGTATGCTACTCGTCAAGAACCTGATTCAATACGACCCCGAAGACGCTCAGGCTGTGTCCAGCTTCCACCTCACACCACTTCCCGAAGCTAGCAACGATCTCACCCTCCTCGACTGTCTCAACTACTTCCAACAAGGTCGCAGTCACATGATCCTCGTTTCCAACCATCCCGGTGAATCTCGCGGTGCGCTCGGCGTCGTCACTCTGGAGGATGTGATCGAGGAGATGATTGGCGAGGAAATCGTCGATGAGACCGACATCTATGTCGACGTACACAATAAGATCAAGGTGGTCCGCAATCACCGTCAAAACTCCAAAGATGCCGGCCACAATTGGCAGCCTCTGATCCAAGGCATCATCGAACGACGACGAAAGCTCGGCGGTCCTATGAAAGTTCCCCTCCGCAGCAGCTATGGCACCGTCGGCATCATGGACCCCGACCACAATGCCAGGAAAGATACCAAGTATGGCGTGCCAAATGTCAACGTGCGCGCTGTCGATAAGGTGGCCATCAAGCGTCCTGGCTCGCCACAATCAGTCGTCAGTATCTCTCGCAAAGCATCCGATTCTTACGAGCCAACTACTCCACTTCGTCGCGAGAGCACTTCTTCTGTAGCCACCTCTCTAGACGGGCTCAACTACCAGGAACTTCATCGTGCAGCGTTCATCAACCAGGGCGGGAGCGCACATAAATCTTATTCAGAGCCATACATCGTCGAGGTGGGCAGTCAGGGCCGTCAGCCTCAAATCGTCCGCATCTCCGATATCCAGGAATTTCCAGGAGCAGAAGAGCGCGCAAGAAAAGACGATGTGCGAAATCGACGTGACAACGAGGGCGAACAGCGGAATGGTAACAGTCATGAGCAAGGTCGAAGTGCAGATCAGAACCAGGAAGACGGGGAGAGGCGACCGCTCTTAGACGGGATCAAGAAAGTTCTTGGCCAGTCCGATTAAGCCGGAGCAGATGTAATCTAGGAGACCTCGCAATGCAATCCCTCGGATCTTCCAGCTAATCCCTCTTCTGCATTCTCAGAACAATCTAAGGATCCAACCGCTCAGACTGTGTACACATTGATTTTGGAAGATGTACAATTACACATAGGTGAAGTATGTCTTCCTATGCCGCAAAGCAAGCAGGCGAAACATCACAAAGATCTCGAATACAGGGGCTTCAGCAGACCGTCTGGTTCAGGCCAAGCTTCACAGGTGCAATCAGGAACAGTGTTCACAGCATCACTTACCTCTTCCAAGAGATGAACACTGAATCAAATGCAGTGTCTGGGGAGGGTCGAAAAAGAGCGTGAGCATAACCCTGTGGCTGGGAACGAATTTCCAGGTCGCGTTTCGGACCAGTCCGACAGACTCCCTACCCTGGGATACACGAAAAAGACTAGCTTCGTCGAGACAGACCATCTTCAGGAGGGTAGACTTAAGTTTTCCATCAAGCTCGTGGAAAATCCAGGGCTCGGCGTCTTTTGGGCTGGCCAACATGTAGTTCACAATATTAGCTCCTTGGATTTCGCAGGTCCAAATTAAAATCATCGTAAGGCGACCATCAAGGATTTTGTCAAACTTGTTATCGCCAGGTTTAACTTTTCCCGTCAGATGCCTGAGGGCATCCTTCCAAGTTTTGATGGTGACGAGGAATAGTGGCTGATAACGAAAAAGCTCGAAATATGCACTGTCACATTTTAACTCGGCCGGCGACAGTGTGTGTTTCCAGTGTTAGATCCTAGTTTCCTATCTGAGCTCATTGAGTTACACTCTCGACCGGCCGAGTGTGTGTTCATATCTGTGTAGTTTCATCATTGAGTCCCACATTCGGCCGGCCGTTGCCAGGCAACTCCCCGCCGAGTTCATCCAAAAGGGTGGGGTCATGCAGGGCCTGCATTTTGTGGTCACCTTTTTTTCGACATTTTTTTGACTTTTTTTGACAAAGTACTTCAGAGTGTGCTGACCAACTCAAAGTGGGATCGTCGAAAAAGTCGAGATTTTTGACGCGTCCGGTAAGCAATGTTAGACCTCCCGTCAACACACGCGCGCCAGACACTTTTTCGACTTTTCGCGTGCGCGCATCAACATGTTAGATCATCGTGCCCATTTCGACTTTTCGAGCGCTCGCATCGACGTGTTAGATCAACGAAAGCTTTTCGACTTTTCGACTTTTTGACTTTTTGACTTTTCGACTTTTTGACTTTTTCGACTTTTCGACTTTTCGAACGCTCGCATCGACGTGTTAGATCATCGCAACCTTTTCGATTTTTTCGACTTTTTGA